GTGATTACGCAGTAACGTGGCGCTGCCATGACAGATCACGATGAATCAAGGTGTGGTATTACGCCCTGCCTAACAATTATCATTAGTTGGTAATCGCCTAAAATTTAGATGCTTGATTAATGTAGAAATTATTAGACGTTAAACTTGCGTTTTTCATTGATAATAAGGGGTTTATATACAAGATTAACTAAGTCAAACAATAGGCCCAAAATATACAAAGCCCAATATACAATAAACAAGTATCTATAAATATACTAAGCTAACATTTCCCCTCAAATTGGAGCACGAAGATAAAAAATGTCCAACTTAGACAATAAACAGTGAAAAAGAGGACCAGACAAAGCTTTTGTGAAGATATCTGCAGTCTGGAGACGTGTAGGAACATAAGTTGTGATGACATGGTTGCGCTGAATGCACTCTCGGACAATTTCAATCAATATCAATGTGCTTCGAGCGCTCATGGAAAACTGTATTGGCGGCAACGAATAGATCAAATTTGTTATCTCAATATAAACGGGGAGTTGCCACACAAGGTACACCTAACGTAGCTAGACCTGGCAAAAAATGACTCGACCTGTTTTTGACCCGAAAACCGACCAGAAAACCAAGGGTTTTGAACAAAGGTTTTGATGATCGAACCCGAAGTTGATCGAACCCGAAATAAACAAAGGCTTAAATATACTAACACTAAAAGATCGTGTTTAATACCATTAATTATATTAAAAGTATTATAAATTATCATTTTAAAAATTTATAATAATCAAACTAAATTATGGCAGTGTGAGTTACCATTTTTACACAAGTGGGCTCTGATTATTTACAATCTATAAAAGGACATAAAGAAATAGAATAAGAACACATTTACTCATTGACTTCACACTGATTTATTGATTTAGAAGGTTATAATACTTTATCTTTTATATATAAATTTTTTACTTCAATCTTTGAAAGAATGACATGTGTCAACATTTCAATACATATTTTCTAGACCTGTGCAAATAAGGATCCGGGCCGGGCTTGATATAAATTATTAGCCCATTTACATGGGCGGGCCTGGCCCGACCCGAATTTGATGGGCTAAATTCTTTACCCATACCCGCTTATCTTTGCGGACCGGACTGCCCACCGGGCCACCCGGCCCGGATAAAACATCAAGAATTTTTTTTGTACAAAAAATTTTAAAAAAACCATTGAACTCTTTTTTAATATTTAAAATAAAATAACCCGTCACCACACTTATATAGAAATCATAATAGAGTTATTGTTGCATAATTAATAAACTTATCATACCCATTCATTAAAAGAGTATTGATTTTTGTTTAAAAGAGGTGAGTGAATTAAACTATTATACATGAATTATAGAAAATTTTAAAATTTATATTAGCTAGGTAATTAATAATAAAGTAAATATATTTGATGAATATGGGCGGGCCTGTTGGCTCAGATGGGCTAAAAGTAACTTCCAGATCCGCCCATATACAATTCGGGCTTAGGCTGACCCATTTGGATATTAAAGGTTGTCCATATCCACCCTTTTCAGGTTTTTGAATGAGCATAGGTGGCTGGACATGACCCGTAAAAATGAAAGACACCAACCAAGGCGCATCCACGCATATCCGACCACGCCGACTAGGGCTGCACCAACCCCTTATTTCAGGGTTTCTATACTTTTCGAATATATGTTTAAGATCTGCAACGTGTTTGAACCGGCAACTCTTAATCACTAAAGACTTGAGACTTATACATCTCATAAGGAGTTTGTGGCTGAAGTTTTTTTGTGTAAAACTAAATCCACTTAACTCCAACAGCTTTAAATTGGAAACAAGCAAGTAGTCCGGTAAGTGAATGCTGTTTTTACCCAAGTTACCCAATTTTAATATGGTGAGATTGAATAGAAATTTACAAAAAATATTTGATAGTTTTTTCATTCACTTACTCCGGTAAGTGAATGCTGTTTTTACCCAAGTTACTCAATTGCCCTTGAAGTTCTCCGGGAACCCATTAAAATACCAACAAGCATAATGTAGTGTTGTCAACCTATAAGTGATGCCAATAATAGCAGTCCACATAAAGGCCAACCACACTGTGACCATTGCTTTCAGCGACTTACTGACCAATAACACATTAGGGATTGGCTGTTGTGTGATTAGTTAATTTGATTTCAGCATGAATCTGAAAATTGTATTTTTTTACTGTTAGGGATTAGAAAGGGCATACAATTTGCAAACGAACAAAATTTTAAAAAACTTGAAACTTGACATAGTCAGTAAGGTTCATTTTCCTTACCTGATTGATGGAGTCTTGGTTCAAATGCCTTTTTGCACAAAACTGTTAACATCATCATAGGCCAGTGAAATGCTATCTTCAACAACCTTTATCAGAACAAATTGGCTTTCAGGCTGCACATGTAAAAATATAACAATAGGTTTATAGGAAAATTTTAATTCTTAATAGTGCTTTAGATTTTTGTAATAATGTTTGTGATATAAGTTTAGAAACCCGCAATGGAAGCCTTTAGTAGGATCTAAATGCACCCATGTATTTCAAGAGAGGATTACTAGTCTGCACACACGGTCCCTAACCGTAATAGAGTAAGCGGCTAGGCCAAGATTTTGCTTTGTATGAATAAAAAATGTTTGTTTTTTTTCTAAAATGTGTTTTGATATACCTTGGGATTGTTGATATTTCTGCAAAGGGTTCATTGACTGAGTTGTTGGCAAACTGAACCATTTATTTATGTACAGTTTTTGAACAAAAGTTTTTAGAAAATATCAAAAAGAGGTAATTACAGCTTTGTTTTAAACTCTGCTGTGATTGTTAGGCTAAGATGCAACAAAAAGAGAAATAAGAAATGAATTGCAATTGTGACCAATTGTAATGTGTTAAATAAGACATACTGATTCAGAATAACAAAATACCCCATAGTAACATAGTCTTTTCACAACATTTGCAAGCATCATCCATTGAAGCTGAAAATGTGTTTGAAAATTGTTTTTGTAAATCATTTTTGTCAGAAGCTCAAACTTGTGGTCTAGACTCATGAAAGGTTTTATCGAACAAGATTCTATTCAAAGAAATGAGAGCGAATCGACCTCGGGTTCTCTTCTGCAACTGCAGCAGTTGGGTTTCCCAATTGCCCTTATTCAAAACTGGCTCGTTGATTCTCCTGCAAGATCATCAGCATCAGAACAAAACCAACGAAATTGGTATATGCCATGGCAATGAATGAATGAATGAATGAATGTGGATGGGAGCAAATACTTTGAAATCAATAAATTCGGGTTATCCCATCAGAAGCAAAACTACGGGCCACTCTTTTGCCTGAAAAAACAACGAATCCATAGATAGATAGATCGAAATTTACAGTGGATGTGTCATTTTAAAGCAAAGATTACATATTAACGAAATGTGCAAACATACATACATACCTCCGTGAACTGCAATGCTCCTGTCTGAACTCAAAATGAAGCGTATTTGGCAGGAGGGGTCAGATTGCGATTCTTCGCGTTCCCGATGCCTGCTAGTTCAGCCTCCTCGGCTGGAAACCACCGGAGCCGACGTGGTGGCGGCCGCGGCCAATGCCGTGGCAGGCGGTTGTTGTGAAACACGAAGCATTAGGGTGGAGAGAGCACCCACTGATTCGAGAACTGGCCCGACTCGTTTTGTTAAAAGGCCCAATCAATTTTGCATTAGACCCTAAATGGAATGCCCGGTTTTGGTATACCCCTATCACTACCATTCACTTAACACACATGGTACTCTATTTGCATTGAATTGATTATGCCGTGACTCTTTATATTTAATATTCTGTCAGCCTTAAACATTTACCACATTTCGAACAACACACTAAATATTAATCTCTTTAAAAATATTTTCTCTACACAATAGCTCAACTCATTTTTGAACCATTATGTTTTTTTATTTCTCCAGCAATTTATAATTAAATTAAATTAAACATTCTCTAAAGAGGTGAAATTAACTCAATGTTTGAAGTAAGTCGATAAATCTGAAATGGAGGGAGTTAATTCAATTTAAAATAGCTCTACCCAAACTTCAAACTTGGGTTTGGATTGAAAATCGTATATGAATGACTCAATTTCATCGTGTTTGGGTCATCCCAACAAGTTATAAACTTTATATTTTTAATACTTGATTCCATACTACCACTTACATTTTGCATTGAAAATTTAATACTACGTATTACATATCAAAATGCATATATTAAAGCAAACAGAATACTTTATTATGAATTTTAACTAGTTTTTAGATATAATTAACAAGATTATGAATAATACTAAAAAATTAAGTGTACCAATTTTGAAGAAAAAAATGTAAGCTAAGAATGTGGTGTTATTGAAAACTAGTACTATAAAAATATAAGTTTATACTCTAAAAATAAAAAAATAAAAGCATAATCTTATTATTATCATCGCATTATTTTTCTTATTAACATATATGCCGTTTAAAAACACCAACCTTACCCGCTCTGTCCTATCAGGTTATGGCTCGGATAGGTTTGATCCATTACAAACAAATTATTTGAGGTTCAATCAATGAAACATTTGTTCAAAATCTAATAATTTCAGATTACAGATCAAATCAGGTGGGGTTAATTTTTGGTAAGTCTAGTAGCTGTCATTCCAAATACGAATATATAAGAATTTATTTTCTTCAAAACTTCTCTCCGATCGGTCCAGTTTCGCTTTAAAACTCTAGAATTATTTTAAACACACTTTTTATAAATAAAATGACATATTTTGATTATTTACAAAAGAAACCATTATTTTATCGTGATTAATATTTTTTACAAACAAAAACATTTAGATATGAGTAAAATAATAAATACGAAATAAACTTATCAAGTAGTAGTAATATGGAGTAGTAAATAAACAAGCAAGCAAACCAACGGGGGGGGGGGGGGGGGGG